GGTAATTTCTTAAAGTTAGTATCATTTCTTTACCTAACTACCCTAAACTTCCGTTCGTACCTGCTAAGGGCTTCTTCTGCCCCACAATACTCTTAAAACCCTACCTTAACAAATTAATGTTGCCCTACTATCTAAATTTTCTAAGGGCTCTAACCCAATCGCCCGAATTGAATCGGGCAGAGCTGCAAGACGCATCCTGCCCCTAATGTTAAAGAATTTTTCTGGAAAATTTTAGCGGTTTTACGATCTTTTAAATATTTGACAGGACGTTTTAAAAAATTCTTTCGAGTGCCGGCCTTAAAATTTTTGCAAATTTTATATTTTAATTTTTTAGGTGTCTAAGGGTAATATCTTGAATTCATCTTATTTTATTTACAAATTTTAGAATTTTTGGGTGGCTTTTTATAATTTGAACTTTTGAAGGTGTTTCTATAATTTTTGAGATATTGAGGGTATTAATTAAAAAATTAAATTTAAATGTCAAAAATTTTAGGTGTATCATGGTAATCTCTTGAATTCATCTGTGTTGTTTGTAAGTTTTAAAATTTTAGAATTTTAATGTGCTTGTCTGTAATTTAAACTTTTGAGGGTGTTTCTATAATTTTTGAGACATTGAGGTGTTAACTGTAAATTTTAAATTCTTTGCAAACTGATGTTAATTTTTTAATTTCATATTTTTTATTTTAAGTTTTGAGACATTTGGATGAGTTTTATAATTTAGAACTTTTCTGGGTCTTTTCTGCAATTTTAAAACTTTTTATGGTTTTTTTGCAATACTTCATGTATTATAATATGTTATCTACTTGTAATTTCTTTATCTTAACAAACTAATATCATTTTTATATTTTATATATTTTATTAATATTAGTTTTTTTAAATTGTTAAGCTAAACATGGTTCACATAGGATTAGGATAAGATATGATTATGATTAGGATAGATTAAGATATAAATAAAATATTCAAAATAGTGAAGGGTAATATTGACCATTGAAAATTAGAATTTGATTATAGATAATGTAGTTCATACTATAAAGGGGTATATTTGTCTAAAAAATATTTTCCGAACTCGTGCTTTTAAAGAGAGTATGATTCTTTTTTGATAAATTATTCATTGCTGTCCAAATGGGCTTTGGGCTCAGACCTGGCCTGGTGCTTTGCCTAGATCCGACCCGATATCC